AATAATAATCGTAACAACCCACATAATTAATTCACCAAAACTCTACTCATCAGAGATATAAGTTAATCACAGAGTCATCGAAGAAAAATGTTCCGACGTGTATTCATTCGTAAGTCGATGAATGAATAAGTGACTGCTGATGAGTGCGAGTAAGTAAAGTGCTACTTGTACGGGCAAAAATACGAAATAGATTCAACTGCTGACTAATATTCGTTAGAATGACCATAATGATTAAGGTTAAGGTCACCGTTAAATATCCATTGAGTAAAAAAGGCCTGAAATTAACGTTTTATGCCTGATTGCAATACAAAAAGGGGAATATCTTTGGTAGTCCAATGGTGTAATGTGGAAATGTGAATTATAAAATAGCGTAGCATTGAGAATTGACTGGCTTGAGAAATAATGCTGACGGTTAATGTTTGAAATTCAGGCATGAATAATAAATTATCAAGAAGTAGCTCATAATTCACTTTCAGCGGTAGTATTTTGAATTGTAAGTTTTTCTAATGTTTAAAATGTTTGAGTATTGCGGCATGAGTCACGCACATTTCCTGTGACAGACTTGACGCTTTTCTTCGCGGTCTTTTAGAATTAAATATTTTAATTTGTTTCTAATCAACCCGTTAATCAGTGCTACTTTACATCGCAAGCACTAAGCACTATGATTAACAATGTCAACCACAAACCAGTATAATTATTAATCGCAGCCACTAACCAGTACCACTGACTTTCGAAATATTTAACCAGTAATCGCTGAATAATCGCTCTCAACGCAATAACCATTAAACCTTTCCAAACTCCTGCGCCGAGAGAAGCGTTATTGGAATTCGCAAAGCAATGCCGGGGCCCAATAGAACTTATCTGTCCCTAGCCTTCATCAAACGAGGCTTTCATCAAACTGTAATACAAATGCCTTGCCAGTCATCAGCATCGTTTATTGCTTTACAGCTCCAGGCTTTAGAAAGCAAGGGAGGGGTAGGTCAAAGAATAATTTCCGGGGAAAAGGGGTAATATTACTAGAGTAATTTCAGGTCCTGGGGTAATTTTACGGAGATAGGGAGAATCTCAGGGTTGTTTTTATGCAGAAGGTTGAAAGTCTTGGGGGAAGTTTCCAAGGGGCAGGGGAGGTACTATGACAATTTTTAGGGAAGAAGGAAAGTCAGAAGATAAATTCCAATGAAAGAAGGATGGTCAAAAATAATTCTGAGGTAAGGTGAAGGGTCATGAGGTAATTTCTAAAGGAAGAGGGAGTGTCAATGGGAAATTTCCAGGGGAAATGAGAATGAGGATCAAAGGGTAATTTCTATCAGGGAGAGGGAGGGTCAAATGGCCATTTCCAATTAAACATCGAGGCATACATTAGTTTCTGTTAATTAAACATCTGAAATGTTTCGAAAGTCCGGCCTTACTTTGAATAGGAAGGCGAAACTCTTTCAGAGCTTGAATTACTAAAATATTTGAAACTACCGAGCTCTTTTCGAACGGGGATTGGCCGAGCTATCGGGCTGATGCTGAAATTAATTAAAGGATTATTTAAAACCCAGCCTCTCATTTCGCTTTTGATTTAACTGAAGTAGCTGAAAACCGAGCCTAAAAGTTCAGCATGATTAATTTCATTGATGGATTTGCAGTGCATGCAGAGGTCAATAACGAAATAATTGACCATATAAAATTTTCAATTCAATTGGAAAAAATAAATGAAATATTCTATTTACTACTGAGGGGGACACTGAGAAAAATATGCTTCAAAAGTGAGAAAAATTGAAGTCCGATCATCACATAATTCAATCTGAGCGAATATTTTATAGTCCGCTGATCCATTCATTTGCTGTGGAGAGAATCGGTCGGCAAAAATAGCGCTCAGTGTTGCTTTTTATTCGCTGCTGAAATGTTAACAATTTACTTAATTCATTGCGTAAAATATTAAAATTGTTGTTAACATAGATTTAAAGTTTGTATGTAGTAAGTTTATATTAATTGTTTAATATGCACCTGAGAAGCGAAGAATTCATTAAAAGTTTATGTGTTAGTGAATTAATTCAAGTGTAATAATTTGTTCGTAATTATTTGTCAGTCAAAAAATAGAATTGTAGGTGTTTGTGAAAATTATAGAACGGAAGGTGTTAATGAAGTTAATAAAAGTGTACGTGTTAGTGAAGTTGATGGAAGTCGCTGTGAAAGAGATGTTAATAATTGAAACACATGTTTTATTGGAGGTGATGAAAATGTATCTGTTAGTGAAGGTAATGCTGAAATGTCTGAATAAACCATGCACTTGCATGTAGGTCCATAAAAAGAGAATGCAATGTTAAATTTGCGTTTGTAGGGTTGCTCGGCGCAATTTTCATGGCACAAAAGGAATAAAAAAATCCATAGTCATGACCATAGAACTGTGACTTAAAATTGTTTTATTTCAGCCCAACGGTTAGCGTTCAATGCTAAAGTTGGTCTTGCGCTGAAATCGCTGCGTATAATAAAAGTTCAATTTTTACTAAATAAAAGTTTCGCTAGTTTACGATGTTAAAACAAGACGTGCTTGTCTGTTTGCCGGTAACAAGATGCAAGCAGAGATCACGAGCCGTGAATACAAGAGTGACGCGGTTCCCAACACTCGTATTTAATGTCGTGGTTGCCTGTCGAGCTGCACGAGCACAAGTTTGATATGTGCGTTTGCCCCAACGAATGCGGATATATAGTGAAAAAACATTACGTGTGGTCATTGCACTTTTAAAATATGAATCAAGGTTATAGCGATTAGGTTATAGGTTAGGTATAGGTTCAAAGCATGTAAAGGTATAGTTTTGAGATATAGGTTATAGGTATGAGTGTAAGTAATAGGTTATGGGTTCAAGGTTATAACTTTTAGGTCATGATTCAAGGTTATACATATAAGACGTACAAATGCTGTACAAATTTCCATTTTCTTATAAATGACATTTTTTGTTCGTAAAAGTCAGTGCGCTTGAAGCTTGGTTCAACAGATAAATAAAGGGGTTTTGTAGATGGCTTATACGCATTCGCTTGAATAGACACATATCTATTTCTGATATTTTGAAACGCTGGTCTGGGTGTTTTATATTTCATGTCAAATTTGGGTCTGAACGGATCATTTGTAAGAGGCATAAATAACAATTATCTTTAATATTCTGATTGCGAACTGCATGAATAACGGGATTCGGAACAGCGGGATTCTAAAATCGTTGTGATTTTAAATGTAAGGTCTCATACAGGGAAAATAAATTATTCTTTTGTGGATCGAAATACGAAACGAAAAAATCTCTGCAGAACTTAAAAAAAAATTTGTCAGCAATATTGAATTTCATCAAATGATTTAGATGGGATATGAGCACAGTATTCGATTGTATGCTAATTTAATGTTTGCATTCGGTTTCATCGCAAATTTATAAATAATTTGGGCTGAATTTTTTTATTCATTCGTGTTAGATCATGTATCCTGCCAATACATATCATGTGTATACGAATAGATATTATGTATCATCCGAATATTTTAACTCCAGCTTGTTTAAGAATTCTCCTCTGATTCTTATGAGAAAAATGAATGTAAATAAATAGAAACGAAAAATATTTCGAGTCCGAAAAGAATTTTGATTGTTTTTTGTACGACTTTTTCAGATTCGAGAAAGAAAGAAGCCTTGCAAACACACTGATAAAAATGAACCGGTCAAATTATCCAAAAAGAACACATTTTCCAACCAGCAACACGAGCACAGAACGGACGAAGCGCTGAGACGCCTTTTTGTCGGGCGGAACTGGGTGACCCTCGAGATCTGAAGTGCATCGCTATTTGGACGAATTCTCACTCATTTTTCCCAATGACGCGCTACAAACACCCGAAATGAAAGACGCGATGATGGGATTTTTCAGTAATTCACATTCAGGAGTAAAAGAAAAACACGCTGCTTATACTGTTACAGTATGTGTGCAGTAGAGTAGTAGAGTGCAGTGTGTTTGCAGTACAGTATGTGCGCAATAGAGTACAATATGTATGCAATAGAGCACAGTATGTAATGATATAGAGTATAGTATGTGTGCAATAGAGTACTGTAAGTGAGCAGTAGAGTACAATATGTGTGCAGTAGAGTACAGTATGTATGCAATAGAGTACAGTATGTATGCAATAGAGTACAATATGTGTGCAGTAGAGTATTTTCGATAGACCCAAGGAGTTTTCTTATTCTGGTCTAAGAATTATTATTATTGTTGGCACGAAAAATGCATAGGTGGAAGTTCCATTAGCGATGAAGATAAAAAATATAACTCTGCACTCACTGCAGTGAGTGACAGAGAGCTCATTTTCTCGTCGACGAAAACGATAAGTCACGGACAGATCGACAGACAGACAGACGGACAGACAGACGGACATGACGAGCACAATAGCGCCTTTTTTCCGTAAATGAAAAAAATGCTCTAAAAATACTATTAGTTTACCCTTCCACACTGTGGTTGACATTTTACCTGTGAGCTTTGTACGTCTTAAACACGGTATATATTACTGAAAACACGTTATCTAATAATGAAAACATGGCATATTTTAATGAAAACACGGTATATATTACTGAAAACATGAATGATAGTACTGAAAACATGGTGGATATTGATACAAACATTGCAGATATTAATAAAAACACTGCATATATTAATAAAAAAACACAGATATAGATGAAAATGCGGTATATGGTTTTATAAGACGGTCTTTAAACCTAAGAAGAAAGTCATGGAAGATATAAGTAATGCAATGAAAAGACAGAAGATTTCAGTCAAAATGCGGCGGATATTATAGAAAAAATTCGGCAAGTAATGAAAACACAGTGGACTAAAAATAGTCGGATAGCAATAGAAAAACAGCGAAAGGTATTAACCAGCAATGAGCTGGTTTAAGATATACCATATCCATGCTGTGATCCATTTTAGTGTGGGAACCATAATTTATTTACGGTGATACTGGTTAAGAGTGCAGTTTNGGAATCATCGCTTAGATGGAAAAATTGCCAGTAAAAATCAACGGAAAGTTGAAAATGGGCGCTCATTTATGGTCGCCACATCGCCGGCCACCGGAGAAACGCCTCCTGCCATTCGGCAATTTTTAGTCCAAATGGCCACAATATCGGCTTTCTTGGCCGCCATCTTTTTATTTGCCAGCCCAGCAAGCGGCCAATACACAGGTGAGTGGCAGTACTCTCAACAATGATTCTGTAGATAAGCCAATATACGAATATATTGGCCAATGTACAAATATATTGGCCAATACACATATATATTGGCCAATATACATATATATTAGCCAATATACGAATATATCGGCCAATATACAAATATATTGGCCAAAATACGAATATATTGGCCAATATACATATATATCGGCCAATATGCAAATATATTGGCCAATATACAAATATATCGGCCAATATCCAAATATATTGGCCAATATACAAATTTATTGGCCAATATATAGATATCGGCCAATATACAAATATATTGGCCAATATACATTTATATTGGCCGATATACAAATATATTGGCCAGTATTTTTATAAATTAGCCCAATTTACACCAGATTGTCGATAATAGCTAAAGGGCTCTAAATACCAGTAAAATAGTGCAATACTAATTATTTATCCAAATTAATGATTTATGACCCCCATAAACAACCGTTAAGTGGCCTATCAAATTTTTCAGGTGTTGTAATGTCTTTGAGGTAAAAATTGTATTCAAAATCATTATTAAGATAGTATTTGGTGATTTTTCAACACCTAAAATGAAATTAAAGCTCCATTTCTACTCTGCGTTTCATCAACTGGGTGAAATGACCAATTTAATGAAAAAATATTCTATAATATTTCTATCAATATAAGACATTATTCTCGAAAGGCATATAATTAGAAAATTTTCCCTCAGTTCTGTTATTAGTTGAAGACGATGACGTTACAATAATGATCGTAACGTTTGATTCTAAACAGTCGAACGCCCGTACATTTTAATTATGAACCTCGAACCATTTTAAACCCACGAGTATGAACGTTTTCAACCGTGTTCTAATTTTTAAACGTTTTTTAACAAGATATTATTTGAACTTACCAACAAGCATGAACGCTTTCAACCGTCTTTAAATATCTAGATTTTTTTAACATGATATCATTTGAACGTACCAACAAGTATGAACGTTTTCAACCGTCTATGAATATCTAGAACTTTTTTAACAAGATATTAGTTGAACGTACCGATAAGTATTAACGTTTTCAACCGTCTTAAAATATCTAGAAATTTGTTACCAATATATTATTCGAACGTACCAGTTAGTATGAACGTTTTCAACCGTCTTTGAATTTCTAGAAGTTTGTTAACAATATGTTATTTGAACGTTTACTACATTATCACTTCTTTCGCAACGCCCCCACAGAGGCGGGTGCATGGGAAGGCATAGAGAACAACACGGCAGTGAATGTGTCGGCGCAGCTCGCGACGACAGCCTTCCTCCCCTGCGCCGTGCGCATGATTGGCGACAAGCAGGTTGGTCTCGACTTATATACCCGATTGTCGAAAAATAAATATGGGTAACTCAACAGCGTAAATTATTATATATCGGATTGTATAAATAAATATGGGTAACTCAGCTGCGTAAATTATTATATATCGGATTGTATAAATAAATATGGGTAACTCAGCTGCGTAAATTATTATATATCCGATTGTATAAATAAATATGGGTAACTCAGCTGCGTAAATTATTATATATCCGATTGTATAAATAAATATGGGTAACTCAGCAGCGTAAATTATTATATATCCGATTGTATAAATAAATATGGGTAACTCAGCAGCGTAAATTATTATATATCCGATTGTATAAATAAATATGGGTAACTCAGCAGCGTAAATTATTATATATCCGATTGTATAAATAAATATGGGTAACTCAGCAGCGTAAATTATTATATATCCGATTGTATAAATAAATATGGGTAACTCAGCAGCGTAAATTATTATATATCCGATTGTATAAATAAATATGGGTAACTCAGCAGCGTAAATTATTATATATCCGATTGTATAAATAAATATGGGTAACTCAGCAGCGTAAATTATTATATATCCGATTNGTAGAGTACAGTATGTGTGCAGTAGAGTACAGTATGTGTGCAGTAGAGTACAGTATGTGTGAAGTAGAGTACAGTATGTGTGCAGTAGAATACAGTATGTATGCAATAGAGTACAGTATGTGTGCAGTAGAGTACAGTATGTGTGCAGTAGAGTACAGTATGTGTGAAGTAGAGTACAGTGTGTGTGCAGTAGAGCACAGTATGTATGTATCTTGTAGAGTACAGTATGTGTGAAGTAGAGTACAGTGTGTGTGCAGTAGAGCACAGTATGTATGTATCTTTCAACATTTTTTGTAAAAAATTTTTGCGCTATTGTGAATTTTTTCTCTTAATGAGGCTTGAACTTACTAGAAGTAAGTTGATACATTTTCTTCTTTTCTATATGTAGGTATTAAACAAAATTTTTATTACTGTTGGTAAAATGAAATTATGGCACATTGAATATTTAATAATGACTTTTCTTTTATCAGATCACGATTATCACTACTGATAACAATTATAGTATCTATAATATGATTATTTTTACTGATAGTCATTCTCATATCAAGATTATGAACGAAGTTGGCCGTAATTAAGGGTTAAGGTTACGTAAAGTTGTCGGGGGAACTTGAATATTTTGTCTCGCGCTAGAAAGTTTGTAACTGGCAGGTGAAAGTTCCGGCATTGAGTTAAAGTTGTTAACTTCATTAAACTGCTTCACATGGCCATGAGAGGGCTGGTACATAACTTGTGATTATCAGAATAAAATTTTGGAGATCTGAATGAAATTGCGGTGGTCAGAATGAAATTGCGGTGGTCAGAATGAAATTGCGGTGGTCAGAATGAAATCGTGATAAGCAGCAGGATTTTGTCATGTTCAGTAAATTGGTGGTACTGGATCAGTGTTCTTGATTAGATTATGTAATGTTCTTCAGCTACACTTATCAACATCCCCAAAGGCATGAACTTTTTCTGTGTTTATCTTCACTTATTGACATATTCAAAAACAATAACTCGAAGTATTCGTCAGGCGCTAGGAAAAAGTTCAAAAATCTAAAAGTGAACCTCTAAATCTCAAACAAAATTTCCAAGAACTCACTCAGGTTGTTATGCTTGGTATCTACTCTTGATTCCAGCTTGAGTCGCCTGCTGAAGTAAAAGTTTTCACCTCGAACTTGACTCAGGAGGCGATTATCTTCGGACATGCCCGTCAGAATCTTGCTGATTTGCGACGACATCTCAACCATTCTTCATCGATCTTAGTTGGTGTTGGCTCGAATTTTCGAACTCCAACTCTGTTTGATTAGTGAGTTGGAACTTGAATTCGGCGTGACTAGAGAGTTGGAACTCCAACTCAGAGTGACTAGAGAGTTGAAACTCCAACTCGGCGTGACTAGAGAGTTGGAACTCCTACTCGGCGTGGCTGGAGAGTTGGAACTCCAACTCGGCGTGACTAGAGAGTTGGAACTCCAACTCGGTGAGACTAGAGAGTGGAACTCGAACTCTGTGTGACTTGAAAGAAAGTCACAACTCCAACACAGCACGACTCGAGAGTTGAGAGTTGGAACTTTAACTTGGCAGTAATCAAGGGTTGAAATTTCTACTCGACATGACTCCAGAGTTGGAACTCGAACTCAACACGTCCTCGTCGAGTTAGGCTGACTCGAGTCACATTAGTTGTGCCGCGTCCAACTTTAAATTGCGCTGCTGAGGAATGCGGGAACGGCACTCGGCGACGCCTTGGGTTGTTTCTACGATAAACTTTTCCTTCTGTACAAAAATAAACCACATTTATTTCTACGATAAACTTTTCCTTCTGTTAAAAAACAACCCACATTTATTTGATGGTGCAGGGAATTCTTCTTGACTGGTTTTATGATGAGCCCTTAATGATGTTCAAACATTGCACATTTTTGTTGAATTTTCGATAGACCCAAGGAGTTTTCTTATTCTGGTCTAAGAATTATTATTATTGGAGGCACGAAAAATGCATAGATGGAAGTTGCATAAAAGATGAAGATAAAAAATACTTTAGTTTTCCCTTCCATACTGTGGTTGACACTTTACCTGTGAGCTTTTTAGGTCTAAAACACGGTTTTATGTTACTGAAAACACGAAAGATAATAATGAAAACGTGGTGGACTTTAATACAAACATGGAAGATAATAATAATAATGAAAACACGGTAGATATATAAGAAAATACGGTATATGGTTTTTATAGGACGGTCTTTAAACCTAGGAAGAAAGTCATGGAAGAAAAAGTAATGCAATGAAAAGACGGCAGATTTTAGTGAAAATACGGCGGATATTATAGAAAAAATTCGGCATTTAGTAATGAAAACACAGTGGACTAAAAATAGTCGGATAGCGATAGAAAAACAGTGAAAGGTAACCAGCAATGAGCTGGTTTAAGATATACCATATCCATGCTGTGATCCATTTTAGTGTGGGAACCATAATTTATTTACGAAGATACTGGTTACGAGTGTAGGTTGATAAGCAACTATATTATAAAACGATATAGATTGAAATTATTTTATATATTACTATTTATATAACTATATTTCAGTTATATAAATATTTATAACTATATCGATCAAGATTGACATTTCAATAGATTGAAATATAAAAAGTTCTACACCAAAGTATCTATTGTAGCTGCTAGAATATGTTGTCGAATAGCTTGTACATAAATTATATTGCCAGCCGATATGCTAATGTCAAGGAGCCTCCCCCCCCAAAAGGGGGGGCGACAGCTAGGAACTATTTAAGGGCACGCGTCCTGAGAAGCCGCGCTCAGATTGATGGTACGTGCGCAGGATCTATTTAAATCAGGATCAGTGTTACGCAGGATCTATGTCAAGCAAGACCAGTGTTACGCAGGATCTATTTAAATCAGGATCAGTGTTTGATCTATGTCAAGCAGGATCAGTGTTACGCAGGATCTATGTCAAGCAAGATCAGTGTTACGCAGGATCTATGTCACGCAAGAACAGTGTTAAGTAGGATCTATGTCACGCAAGATCAGTGTTAAGTAGGATCTATGTCACGCAAGATCAGTATTACGCAGGATTTATGTCAAGCAGGATCAGTGTTGCGCAGGATCTATGTCAAGCAGGATCAGTGTTGCGCAAGGTCTATGTCAAGCAGGATCAGTGTTGCACAGGATCTATGTCAAGCAGGATCAGTGTTGCGCAGGATCTACGTCAAGCAGGATCAGTGTTGCGCAGGATCTATGTCAAGCTCTATCAGTGTTACGCAGGATCTATGTCAAGCAGGATCAGTGTTACGCAGGATCTATGTCAAGCAAGATCAGTGTTACGCAGGATCTATGTCAAGCAAGATCAGTGTTACGCAGGATCTATGTCACGCAAGATCAGTGTTAAGTAGGATCTATGTCACGCAAGATCAGTATTACGCAGGATTTATGTCAAGCAGGATCAGTGTTGCGCAGGATCTATGTCAAGCAGGATCAGTGTTGCGCAAGGTCTATGTCAAGCAGGATCAGTGTTGCACAGGATCTATGTCAAGCAGGATCAGTGTTGCGCAGGATCTATTTAAATCAGGATCAGTGTTACGCAGGATCTATGTCAAGCAAGACCAGTGTTACGCAGGATCTATTTAAATCAGGATCAGTGTTACGCAGGATCTATGTCAAGCAAGATCAGTGTTACGCAGGATTTATGTCAAGCAGGATCAGTGTTACGCAGGATCAAGCTAATTGACGGTTGCACGTCTCTGGCGGGAATTGTTGTACGAATAATTTATATTACGTAGGATATTTTTTGGGCATAATCCATTGAACTTAAAATCAACGTTAATAGCATTGCCTTGCGTTCAGACGCAGCAACATGGAAGAAAGTTAGCCCTCTGGCCTTCAAGCCGCCACCCCAGAAATGGACGATGTGTTTCATCATGAAGTTTTGATATCGCATTGAGATTTTACGAGAGTTTCTCAGAGGTTCGGTTTGCTCTGAAGTTAGCTTTTACATTTGCCATAACTTTTTTAACCTAATAAAGCAGGTTTGCGGCACCTAAGCCTCCCTAAACATGTCAGACTTGACGCTAATTGTTCGCTGTTTCTTTGGAATTTTCCAGCATTTTATGTCATCAATTGCGAGTGCCTGCTTTGTTGAAGGCGAGCATCGCTAATGATCAAGTTCTTTTATTGCAGCTCGGAGTTATTGCCAGGTTATGCGTGCGGAATTGTTGGGTTTAATGGTATTGGAGATAATCAACAAAATATACGGGTTGAATCAGACATTAATTTCACTGTACCATTTTACCAATGAAACTGTTTATTAATATAGGTTTAAATGCCTGCTTGTGTGAACAAAGGTGTTATGTGTTTTTCTACAAACATTCCATTGCGAATGAACTGTTTGTAAACATTGCTTAAACTTTTCCATTTTCGATTTCGACAATATCA